ATTTGGACTCACTCAGTGACAGCTTCATCCTGCGTATTAATTCCGCTGTAGATTTCCTAACCTCATTTATTAATGTATCTACAGGCTTTTTAATTTCCTCATGCGGACCCGTCTCAGTATGTTCAGTGACTGACTTTCTTGAAGTAGTTGGATTTATCCAAAACTGCTGTAGAGTTTCCTTTGTTAGCTTTTGTGATGACGATGTTTTTATCCTGTTTTAGACTAATTAGAGCTTCTCTTTCCGATTTTGTTAACTTTGATTTAGTTTTCTTTTGATCTTTCAGGGTTAACGCACATCGTGCTCAAACCTCTTCTGCTGTCGTCTTATCTGTTGAACTCAGTGCTACTTCTATGTTAGGAATGACATCCTCTGGTTTTAATTTACTAACTGTTAAGTTGGAATTTAGTTCCTTCTCAAGTACTTTTATCTCACTAGAGCTTAGTTCCCTTGATGAGAGGTTGATCACCCGTTTTGTTCTGTCCATAGAGGATGAAATGTTGACGTCAGTTTCATTTATTGTGTTCTTTTCTTCCATTGGTGTGTTGAAGTTTTTGATTTGTGTGGTTTTTAATTTTCTTAATACTGATTCTCTAGCTTTTTTGGATTTGTTTTTGATTTACAGCTTGATTTCACACTGTATTTTTGGTACAAGTATGGAATTTTCAGCATGGATATCGGTAGCCCAAATTTTGCAGGCCGACCATAGATATCGGGTGTGCGTCGGCAGTGGGTCGAACCTTGGACCATATGCATGGTCGGCGAGAGTCCTAACCACTGTGCCACCGACGCACAACAATTACATGATCTTTATCAGTAACCATACATTTGAGCTTGTGTCTAAGTTTTTCAATTTGATTACATATATTATTTAGTTTCACAGTAATTCGATGTATTTCTCCTCCTAGACGTAATCTTCTAACGAAGTCAGATAGGTTGTGTGAGTAGTGTCTTGATATGAATATGAGCATCAATAAATTTTGCTCGAAACGTGGTCATCAGTAAAGATTACTGCATAGCACCACTGTGAGACTTAATCAAAATAAATTTTACCCATAATGGAAGTATACTGAATCACAAGGCAATTAATGCTTTTGACTATTCAGGGCATTTATAAACTGTTTATAAGGTGAAACAGTATAACATACAACCTCAACGCTTTATAACTAAGACGTGAAAAACCTTCAATATGAATGAATAGGTGATTATTAGGCGAAAAAAGCCAAAGAATATATAATATCGAAGAACTTTTAAGAAGTACTAGTGTGGTGAGAGCTGGCTACTAGTCAAATTGATAGACAGGAATTTACGTCAATGTTTACGTTCTCAATATTGGCCTTGAGAAAAATATGAACAAAGACCGATTCAGCAGCTAACCACAGTAGACTCTGCGTAGGCGGATACACTTAACATATAGATGATCTGACATTGAAGAAACAGCCACAAAGAGATGCAAGGTTAACTTTGTGTGAGAAACAACCACCAATCAGAAGACTGTGTTTTTCTCCTGACAATTATCTATGATGGTGTAGATGAAAATCTATAAATATGTGTTGATTTCCTAAATAGACGATCTGTTGCCTGTCCCTTATCTTCTGTTATTACACTAGTAGAGAGTTGATACTCTGTCTATCTTTCTCTCTTTCTCGTCATCTTAAGTAAATATTACTTCCAAGTAGTATATTTGTGTAAGCTTACAACAGATCAGTCAGTGATTTAAGGCATTACTATTGTCTTTTTAAAAATCAAGGTTAACAAAAATTTGTGGATAACTGAAACTTTGTTATCGGGGTTATTGTGTATTACCTGATCGTTGGTAAAGCAGCATACTTGACTAAACTTCTATTTTCTATTGTAAGCGTTCCCTGTACACTCTCTGATATCTTCCTTTGTTTTTCCACTTTTGACTGTCTCATCTCTTACATATGTGTTAAAGAGGGAGGGGGGGGGCGAGGATAACGGAAAGAAGGTCTCAAACACAGGGTTAATATTAGTATTATTGTTCCCTTGGGTTCGGAGTGAAACATAAGGCTTCCACAACACATCATCACTTTCTTAGAATTTACGCCATCCTCTTCAGCTGGGTACACGACTGTCTGAACTCTCTCATCTCTTCCTCACATGACCTCTTCCGTAACACCCCAGGGAGGACCCACTCTTTGTTTTCCATTCTGATTCCTTTCGAGCGATGGCGTGCATTGCGCGTAATGCCCAATCCATCTCCATTTTCACCTACATATTTTTTGAAATCGGCTCTTCCCTGGTTGGTTTGCTGTCAGACAACCAGAGTTTCTTGTTACTAATTCTTTCTCGCTGGTCGGCTGGCCATTTAATCTTCACTATGGAGCCACCCAAGTGGGCAGCTATTGATAAAAGTCTGTAGCTGGGTGTCAGAAATCCTTTTAATGACAGGCTAGCCAAGTGTCTTACTGGTATACAAGAACTGACTGACTTGACTTCGGTGTTGAAAATCTGAATCTTGTTCCTTATGCTAAGTGAGTGCAGAGGATTTCCAAACTGGTTTCAGGTCGATGAAGGATTACCTTGCCTTTCCGATTCTCTTTAGCTGTCTGGAAGGCTTTGACATCCTCCTTCGTACCAAATTCCTGTGGTTGAAACAATGCTTCCTAGCCGGATAAGTGAAGGAGGTAACCTCTGTTAAATCTCTCCCGTTGATGCTGATTGACGCTGGTTCCTGTTGTTGTTGCCGTTGCGGTCCGTTGGTCATCTTCATCAACTCCGTCTTCTCTATGTTCATCTAAATTCACGTCTTCGCCGCCAACCTCTTCATCCAGTTTGTTGATTTTCGCCTGCAAATCCTCCAGTTTGTGTGACATTAAACATAAATCGTCTCCTCGCGAAATTCAGAACTTCTAGAGTCTTCGAATCAGTGGTCCGGTGTATTCCTGACTCCTCTTCCCCCACTCACAGTCTGACTCATAATCCAGTCCACAATAACTAAGAATATCACCGTTGGTGATAATAGGCAGGCAGTCCTGTCTTACTCTTGTATGCACTTCGAACACCTCACCGAATTTTCCATTGTGGATCACCTGACACGTGTCACTATTATATAGCTATGGTTGAATGAGGATGATAAAGACTTGAGGTAGGCCATAGTGCTTTAGGAGTAGTTTCCAAATTACGTCTCAGTCAATACTATCTTTCGAAGGGCTAGTCAAAGCCGATGAACTTGAGGTCGAGGCAGGTTTGATTGCCATTCTGTGATGCTGATGCGTACACGGTACAAATGCAAAATACAAACACAAGGCGATTTCAGCAAAACAAACATCTTTTTATTTTATTTCTTTTTCACATAGAAACCATATGATAGTATTTAGAAAAAAAAGGTAAAAAATAGTAATTCACACCATGTTACATAATATATAAACAGTGCATATATGAGATGGCAAATAGGTGGCGGGGGGGGGATGTGAAGTTCGCTCATTATATATAGACCGACACAGTGGAAAAACACCAGGATGGAGTGTTTAGATTTCAAAAAAAACAATAACAAAATACAACAGCATTCAAAAACAGTAGTAGGTCTGTTTACCAGACGAATAATTTAATTACACTTTCATTTGAAGAATTCAATTTCAAATGACGTATATTCATTCGTATACGTGTTATCTATCCTACACAGCTTATCAAAAGTATTATTCTCGTGAATTGTGTAACAGCCAGGATTGTAGATGTGTGTGTGTGTGCGTGTGTATGTCCCCTTCTCCTGTTGGTCTGTGATAACAGAACAACACATAAGAGTTAACAAACACTCGCATAGATTTCTCTCAGCCTGAAATTTGTCACTGAAATTCGCTGAATTTTGAATAGTAATAATAATAATAATAGTAAAGATTATCCATAGAATGATATGCACCATTGAAAGTTGAATCACATTGAAATTTTCACAGACATGTATAAATTAGAATTACTAAAAATAAGGTATTCTATTCTTGGCATCACATTTTATTCACAGCTAACAGAATTTTTGTTCCAAGTGAAATCAATTGAAGGAAGAAAACAAAAGGCATTCGTGGTTGGCAAAAAAACAAAAGCGAAAACCAAACAAGATTGTTGAACAGGAATACCAGTAGAGATTGTAACACATACAATAACGATGATGACGCATCATCCATGCATACATATACATTTAAGATTGAGAAAAAAACGAGCATATATATATATATCAGTTTCAGTGAGTCACTGTGGAAAACGTTGATCGATGAACTCAGATCATCTTTCATGCTTTAAGAAGAGAAGAATAGTGAGACATTGAAGACGATCTAGTTTGATTGAATGATTGACAGATTGATGAGTTGGTCGATACTCTGACTGGATTGGATTGGTGTATATCCATCCAGTCAATCGTACGTAGTCTAGGTAACGGGATAATTCTCTTACAACCGATTAATACAGACACAAACACAGAATTATGTGAATAGATTTTGTGTGTGAAAATCAGATTTACTGTAAACACCTAGATGGGACAAAAAAAATATAATAAATAAATAATTGAGGCAGCAAAGGTGACGAATATAAGGCAGACGCTTCTTTGTTTGTGAAATTAAAAATGTTACTCCAGCAATGAAAAGTCAGTACAAAAAAGCAGTGGAAATTGAATCAGTGAGATAGAGAAAAACAGAAAACTGTATCTACTCATAGACTGGAATAATAGTTGAAGTAGTGATGAAGAAAAATCACGACAATTTTAGAAAGACTTATACAATAAGTAGTAAATAGTATTGACAAAACAACACCCCTTCAGGAGAACTGCATACATCTAGGCTATTCACTTTAAGAGAAAGGGAGGTGTGTAGGAGATTTTTGTTTAAAACATTATTGTGAAAACGAGACGAATCGATGGATGAGTGATTGAATGTAGTGTTGGCGAATCGAAAAAAATAGGTCAGATCAATCAGGTAGATCACAATACAAAATTGTTTACAGATAGAAGAGGTTAGGATTTTTTGTATGTGTGTGTGTTGTTTTTTGGGTTTTTTTACAGAATATTGCATGTACGTGTAGAATTTTCATTTTTGATCGATTTTTGATCTCGCAGGTCAACAGTTGTCAGTTCTCTACGCGAGGTATTAGTCTGTCTAGGTTTATTTTTTCCGTTACTGGAAAAACCATTGCGCTTAGATCGCCGCCTATTCTTGTACTTTTGTTCAGGTAGCGTTGGATCATTTTTGTAGGGTAAACCTTTATCACGAAGAATGCGGTAAATACCGGTTAGCTTATTCTTGGGACCTTCATTTAGTGCTTTGTCCAATTCTAGGGCATCCACATTCCACCATTTTCTCAATAAATATCTTGCAGATGCATCATCAATTTCGTCAGGAGTTGGATCTTTGTGTCTTGCTAGAAGTGGCCAGTCGACAGTGAAAAACCAGGGAGAATTTTTTGCCTGAGTTACTGTATATCTTTTGTCAATGGAATGAGTCAGTAATCCATTGATTAACATTTGACAGTGTGGTGTAACATATGACGGGATACGATAATCACCAGAGAGAATAAGACGTTTTATTTTCTGTAAACTATCAGCCTTGAAGGGTAAACTTCCAGTTACCATATAAAATGTGAGAACACCGAGTGCCCAAAGATCAACAGCCGGTCCTAGGTAGGAGTCTGCAACAAAGAGCTCTGGAGCAGCATACGGTGGGGAACCACAAAAAGTAGTCAAAGCAGCATCTGGGGCGGCACATTTAGAAAAACCGAAATCTCCAAGTTTAACATACATATTGCTTACAATGAAAACATTTTCTGCTTTAAGATCTCTGTGAACCACACCGTTGTTGTGCTGTACAAAAAGTAAATAGAATGGAAACAAAAAAAAGATTTATAACACTTATCCAATTAGCTGTGAAAATTTATGGGATAGAAGATCATATTACCAAATATCATAATATACATTACGAAATTAAAATAAAAGACGTGAAATGTTTCACACATCAAAGTTTTGTTTTACTTTACTCATGAACTGGTAACTTCTTCGAAGGTTTACTTCACAGTAATAAAAATTAGTTGTCTGCAGGCGATATCAACAGTATGTGTAGCATTCGCTAGATACGCGAATGACATGACGTATATGTATTCGATCTAAACAGATGGTTAGACAGAACAGCTTTCATTACAGCACAGCGTAGCACAACAGTCCATCCGTGGACTGTTCATATATGTATTTTGATTGGACGCTAGTAACTAGTGTGACGTGTCTAGTTGTTACTTTGGTACAGACTGAATTCTATCAGTCAGGTTTACAATATGGCCACCATTCTACGTGGCTTGCCATCATGGTGCACACATTGATTTGATGATATTGGATAGTTGAAGGCGGTCGGCCAAAGGAAGCTTTGCTTGACCTGGGTTTCACGCTAGTTGGCACTCACCAGTTAGCAAGGCGTATCTGCAACCTTGAAGGAACTCATGTCCTTTCTGAGATTTGAACTTGCGTCATCCAGCGTTGCAGTCACAGATGTTACCACTGAGCTACTAGTACTCACGACTAACCTCCTTGCTGTAGGAATGTATTGGATACTTTAATTAGACCCTAGTAACTAGTGTTATGTGTCTAGTCATTTCCATGGTGTGGACTGAATTCAATCGGTCAGTCAAGTTTGCGATGTGGGCGCTATGCTACTAGGCGGCTGCCCACCACGGTGCACTCAGAATTGTTGTTCTTAGAGGCAATCGGCAGGAAGGCTTAGACCTAAGACCAGCAAGCGCGAAAGTTAAGTCCAAGGCTCCCAGCACATCACCTCCAATCGCCTCTACCAACAGTTATTTGGTTTAGAATGCTTCTTAGAATCGTTATACATGAATGAAATATTCTGAACAATTTAATAATAAAGTTCTTTTGTTTTTACTAGTTTGACCACTATCAGTTAGAGAATCATTGAAAACCACCGCTGGATTACTGGACATTGTTTCATCCTAGTTTTGGGAATAATTGGCAATACGCACCGTCCCCACAGGGAGTTCTAACCCAGGATGTTGGAGTTCTAGTCAGAAGTCATGACCACTGAATTTCAACCAGTCAGGATGTGAGGATGGTTTCACCGCCGATGACATTGGTTGGTGGTCATGCTAAATCATCACGAATTTATAGAAGTTAGAATTCATACACTGGCCGTTGAATCGGGTTACAATGGCTGCCTAATGGTATACGAGTTAGCTTGTCTTGTGTATTCCAACCTGTGGAGTGGATGCGTACTGATGAAAAGTCTCAAAACTAGAACAACGGAAACAGCTATCTAATACTTCCTGTGACTGGTTTTCATTGGTTCTCTAAAACTGATATCAATACGTGGTCAAACTCGTGAAAACAAATCTAATCCTTACAAATCAACTCTTGTAGTTTTGTTTTTAGTGTAGACTCTGAATCTCAAAAGAAAGGATAATTTTTACATGGTTTATTGCATCCTGGTAAGTGAAACGAAATCTAACTTCAGATCTTTCTATATAGTCTGTTGTTTTACTACTTCATATAAAAATCTAAAAAATAAATACCACACTTAAATCACAGTAGATTTGTGTCAATTGGTGAAGAAGTGACTACACACTGATCAACAGATTTTAAACAGTCTTTGAAAGTGTTAACCACCTATATTGTTTTCGCGATTCGAGAAAAAATAGTGCCGCATTATACATGCACTTGCATTTAAAAAAAATTTAGTTTGTCTTTTATTTTTCAAACAAAAGAAAAAAAGCGCTTAGGCATATACTGTGATACATAATATCCTTGACATAACATCATTTGGAATAAATGCGTAAACGTTCACCCCTAGTGGCTAAGCTGTTATAATACTTGCCAACTACACAAGATGGAATCCCAGCAGAAGCATTGAAAATGGACCCAGAGACAACAGCGGACTTGATGACACCACTACTAGAGGTGTGGAAAGAGGGAAAAGCACCTGAGGATTGGAAGAACGGATACTTATTCAAACTACCAAAGAAAGGAGACTTAAGTCAATGTAAAAACTGGCACGGAATTATGCTCCTGTCCATCCCAAGCAAAATACTTAAGCCACATCATCCTGGAGAGAATCAAACAAGCCAACCTGGATGAAAAACTTCGACCGGAAGAAGCTGGATTCAGGAGAAACAAGTCATGTATTGATCAAATTGCCACTCTACGGATCATCATTAAACAAAGCTTCGAATGGCAGCCACCTCTCTATCTCAACTTCCTCGACTTTGAAAAGGCCTTCGACAGCGTCGATCGAGAGGTCATTTGGAAACTACTTCGCTACTACGGGGTCCCATCGACAATTATACATCTCATCCAACAGTTATACGACAATGCTGCATGCCAAGTAATCCACAACGGGAAACTTACGGAAGCCTCCGAAGTGAGGACAGGAGTGAGACAAGGCTGTCTACTATCGCCAATGATCTTCCTGACTGCAGTAGATTGGATAGTGCGACAGACAACGGGCAATGGGGAAACAGGCATAAAATGGATCCACACAAAAAAAACTTGGAGGATCTGTACTTCGCCGACGATATATGTCTGATTTCCCACAAACTAGAAGATATTCAGGTGAAAAGCAACAACAACAAGCAGAAGAGGCATCAAAGATAGGACTTCAAGTGAACATAGAAAAAAACAGAGGTGATGAAGATTCCTGGCCTACAGAAACAGCAACAACAATAGGCAACAATCAGCCAGCATTAACAGTTGTCTTCGCTCAATACTCAGGATCAGATGGCCAGAAAAGATCAGGAACAAAGATCTCTGGGAGCGAACCAACCAGGAACCGATTGTGAAACAAATAGGCAGGAAGAAATGGAGATGGATTGGCCATACGCTGAGGATACCATCAAGTGACATCACTGGACAAGCCATTGTTCGAGTGGAACCCGGCCGAAAAGGAAGCGGGAGGCGAGTTGGTCGTCAGTTTGAGGGTGACTTGGAGGAGGTCATGTGAAGAGGAGATGAAAAGATGTGGACGGACTTGGAGCCAGGTGAAAACGTTGGCAGAAAACAGAAGGCAATGGAGACGCGCAGCTGAAGCCCTATGTTCCTCTAGGAATTAAAGGATATAATAATAATAACACAAGTGGTTCGCTTTCGACCGCCGGGACAACACAGTCCTAAAACCCTACGCAGTTTACTGTTAAAAAAAGTAAGCCCGGGATAAAATGGAGAGGTTGGGTGTGAGATCAAAAATCTTACTTTGTTGAAACAACTTCAGTGTTGCTGAAACCGGAAGACAACTTCACTGGTTACCTCTCACTTTGCTTTGTCTAGAAAAAGCGGTACTGTTTAAGACGAGTGGTTACCAACTATTTGGAATACACCTGTCATTATTATTATTCTCATATTAGTCGTATATGCTAACCATGCTAAAATGTAATGCTTTCAGAAGAGAGATTGTGAAAGGAGATTGTTTTACTGACCTATATGTTCTTATAACTTGTTAATTAGAGAAGTTTTCTTTCTCATGTAATGTATAGAAATGAATGAAAACGTAGATTATATTTTCAAGTATTAATTTGTGGGGATTTTGATTAACTAGTTAAAGGATTTCATCATGAGCTGACACTATTTAGAGAACGATCGGTAACCACCACTGCAGTATTCGACAGCTGTTTCCGTTGTCCTAGTTCCGGAATCTTCATCACTACAGACACACAACGCCAGTACTCCGAGCCCATAATCTTATGTTTAAAAGGCATGCTAGCTCGTTGACCATTAAAGAGCCACTGAGACCCAACGCGATTCCATGGCCAACCCATGAAACTCCGAATTCCGCCAATTCACAACACAGCGTTACAGCTAGCCAATGTCTTCGGCAACTACTTGTCATCACACCCAACGTGCTGCACCCTACTGGTCACGACTTCCCACTAGAATCCCAGGTAACTATCTAGCTGAACAGGGTCAGTCACTAGTGAGGATATTATTGATATTCAAGTATTGATCTGTTGGGATTCGATTGATTGGTGACAAGATTTCATCATGAGCTAACATCAGTTAGACAACAACTGGAAAACCAACTGGGAGTATTGGACAGTTGTTTCCTAGTTGTTGTCCTAGTATGGGACTCTTCACCAGTACACACCCACCGGCGTTTATTTTTAATAAACCATACACTGGGAAAATATTATCTTATTAAATAGCACTTGGAACCCAGATTTACAAGAAAACTGTTACCGTAGCTACTTCGCCCTATGATAAAACGATAGTTTGTGGTTCAAGAAACTGAGGGAAATAAATAATGCAGAGAATTTCATCGATGTTATCAGTGTCAGTAACACAGACACAGACACACACACACACATAGATCACAATCAGACAAGTTCAGAAGCGTTATCTTTTCAGCAAGAATTGACTACTGGTTCAGATCTAATAATACGGAAATTAAGTACAGATGTTTGTAGTACAAAAAACATACAACGACTTATTTTACATATTTTACAAGGCTGTCTGCGATGCTGCGGACATCAGTACTGTGAAGGAGGTGACCTCTGTTAAATCTCTCCCGTTGATGCTGATTGACGCTGGTTCCTGTTGTTGTTGTTGTTGTTGCCGTTGCGGTCCGTTGGTCATCTTCATCAACTCCGTCTTCTCTATGTTCATCTAAATTCATGTCTTCGCCGCCAACCTCTTCATCCAGTTTGTTGATTTTCGCCTGCAAGTCCTCCAGTTTGTGTGACATTAAACATAAATCGTCTCCTCGCGAAATTCAGAACTTCTAGAGTCTTCAAATCGGTGGTCCAGCGTATTCCTGACTCCTCTTCCCCCACTCACAGTCTGACTCATGATCCAGTCCATAACAACTAAGAATATCA